GAGAAAAATATCTAGAAAGGAAGAAAAAATTTAAACAAACTTTCACTCAGTCAATGATGCTTATCTCACTGGTTGGTAAATGTGCATGAATTTAATCAACTTGGACCCACGAGTCTTTTGGATAGAATATTTGCTGCAGGCACCTCCCCCACAAAAATATACTAAAAGCCTAGTTCATGCCAAACCGTGCTGAAAGTGTGATGGGATTTTATTTTTCAGTCTGCGTTTCCCAAATCTGACTACACTCCCCCTATAAAACTATGCTAATGATTTCTGAGTAATTTAATAAATTCATTCCTTTAACTTAAATGCTTGTTTCTTTGGGAAAAGAGGCGGCTCATTCCCTGGCGGATCTGCTTGGTCTTTACACTGTAAATGATGGGGTTCATCACAGGAGGCGCCAACACGTAGATATTGGCCGTGATAACATGAACCAGTGGAGAAGCATGCTTGGCAAAGCGGTGGGTCATTGACACCCCAACCATGGGCACGTAGAGCAACAGAACAGCCAGAATATGGGACAGACAGTTGTTGAGGGCCCTGAGTCTGGCAGTCCAGGTGGCTGAGACCAAGATACTTTTCAGGATGAGTGTGTAGGAGAGCACAATGAGCAGAGGGTCCATCACAATAATGAGCAAAACCAGAGCAAACCCATACCAGCTGTTGACTCGGATGTCAGCACAGACCAGACGAATCATATCCTGGTGGAGGCAGTAGGAGTGAGACAGGAGGTGGGAGCGGCAGAAGGGCAGGCGCTTGAGCAGGAGAAGGGAGGGGAGAACGGCCAGAACACAGCGACAGAGGATGGCAACCCCAATCCTGCCAATGACTTCACTGGTGAGGATGGTGGCATAGTGGAGGGGGTGGCAGATGGCCACATAGCGGTCAAAGGACATGGCCAGCAGCACAGAAGACTCCATGAAAGAGAATCCATGGAGGAAGAAGAACTGGGCAAAACAGCCCTCAAAATTGATCTGACGGATGTCAAACCAGAGGAGCTGCATGACTGTGGGCAGGGTGGTGAGGGTGAGACCCAGGTCAGTCAGGGCCAGCATGGAGAGAAACAGGTACATGGGCTGGTGGAGGGAGGGCTCTGTGCCGATGACAGCGAGAATGGTGGTGTTGCCCATGATGGAGATGATGTAGAGGCAGCAGAAGGGGATGGAGATCCAGATGTGGGAGGCCTCAAATCCAGGGATGCCCGTGAGGATGAAGTAGAAGGGGTCTTGGGTGGTGTTAGTCACCTCGGACATGACAGAT